CCATAAAATAATCGTTTTCCAATCCAGATCCCGCGGCACAAGTCTTTCTCCCAGGAGAAATCACCGAAGCCCCAAGCCGATGACACCATTCAGAAATCCCAGACGCCCCAGGATTCATATTGGCGTCGCAGCCTATCACCCAGGGAAGAGCCAGAGAACTGAAATATTTTCCAAGAGCAGCCATCAATGGAAGGTCGTCGCCCTGGACCCCCTGCGAGTGATAGAAATTTACAGACAGCCAGATACGCCCACCTGACAGAACCCCATCAACATGTCTAGCAATGATCCTGTCGCGCGTCTCAGGCACGGCATAGACCTCCTCCAGCTGCACCGTGCGCTGGCAGATGCGGGAGAGGCCTCCAGCCAGTGCACCTGCCGAAGTGGACAAAACAGACGAGCCTGCGCAGCCCGCAGGACAAAAATCAGCATTGAGACCTCGTGCACGTAGGGGCCCAGAATATTGATTTGACAAGTCAAGCTCTGAAGCCCTCGTCTCTTGTGCAGCCCAAAACTGTGGCTCCAGACCTCGGACCTCCTCCATCCTCCACTCCAAGATCAGCTTCCAGGAAGACCAGGTATTCGCATTACAGGAAAAGAATGCCCACTCATTTCGCTTTCCTTTAGCTTTCCTATCCCTGGGGGTCTTAGGGCGAAAAGCAGCGGCGAGAACGGAGCCAGGAGCCTGTACACAAAGCTCACCTTTCTGCTGCTGAGCATCAGCAGCACCACTACGATCTCCATCAGGAAGCTGGCCATCACGCCGTGGAACACCATCAGCATGTTGAGGAACATCCAGCTCCTGACAGCCAGAGGCCCCCTCAGCCTTCACAGCCAAGCTGCTGCGGGATCGCGTCGCAGCAGCCATGCCCGCAGATGAGCTGGCAGCCGCCGACGCTGACAAGGTCGCTGTAGTAGCAGGAGCAGACCACCTCTTCCAAGCGACTTCTGGGGCCGCCCCGATGTCCTGGAAACCTCTGTGGAGCTGCGCCGCAGGCACCGCAAATCCCATATCAGGCCAATCAACATCAATAACATTGTTCTGCCAGAACTCTTCGTTGAAGACATGCACCGCGCTGACTGGAACAGAAACGATAACATCCTGAAGCCCCACCACAGCCGGGTGAGCAGAAGCATTTGGAAGGGCATCGTCAACTTCAGCAAAAGCTGTACCTGCCATTCGCCACCATTCAGACAACATGTGTGCAGTTTTTTCACACCAAAGGAAGAACGCACATTTGCTGTCGTCGCCGTTGCCTCGAGGATTAAACACGCACCCGCTTCTGACGTATTGAGGCAATCTGCTCACGGAGAACTCGCCTTGCTGCTGCAACCTTCTGTGCTGCTTCTTCTTTGTTGCCATCACCTTATGCAGCCCGTCTGGCCTCATTGAGGGCCTCTCTTGCAGCAGCAAGGTCCTGTTCGGCTTGTTCATCGTGCTCAATGTCATCGTCATCAGCACCAGCACGAACATGTTCGCCACTGCCAGCAGCGACCCCAGTCTGGCTCTGGGATGCCTTGATGGAGACGGCCTGGGCCTCCAGCATCTGCCGCAGGGTGTCCAGGTGCTTGCCTCCATCTTCGTCGGCACGGAGCTTGCCGAACCAGTCCTTGAACTCTTGACTGGCTGAGGCGAACTGGGGCTCGCCCATCTTGAGGATCTGCTCTCCATCTTGTGCGAGGCCTTTGGCATAGGCTTCGCGAGCTTCTTGCTGGAGAACTTCGGCTTGCCCCTTGGCCTCATCCAAGGCCAACTTTGCGTCATCCAGCTGCTTGTCCAACGCTGCTTTGGCCATCTCAACCTCCTGGCGTTTCTCCTCCAAGTTGGCCTCGGGAGCGCCCACAGTCTCCTTCGCCTTGGCAGGGCGAGTGTTGACGGACATCTGCTGGGCGTGCAGCGGTTTAGCTTCTTGAAGTGCTCTCTGCAGCCGCTCAACTTGCGCTTCCGCCAAGGTGCGATCTCCACCATGGGTTGCGAAGCGGACCGTTTTTTTTGCCAGTGGGCCAGCCTCTCCTTGATGTCCTTGGTTCCTTTCCCATCCTCAACATCGTTGCGCCACGGAGGCTTCGCTTCACCTGCCGTGCCGCCTTTTCTCGATCGAGTCGAGCCTTTTGAGGATGGAGCCCAGCGCCTCCTGCAACTGTGGAGCACCTTGCGACCACTTTCCTTTCGGCGGCTGCTGCTTCGAGCCACCTGCCACTTCCTTCTCATGTGCCTTCTTGGCTGCTCTCGATACCTCAACGGGCGAAGGGCAGCCGCAAGCACACTTGATCCGAGACGCCCAGTCCCCTTTCCGATGGCACTTCGTGCAACTCCACAATGGCTTACGCGGCCCGGGGAGAACGCCCTTCGAAACTGCACCATTCGACATCGCACTGCCTGCGCGAGAGAACTGAGGTGTGCGTGCTCCACCAGGAGCTCACCAATCGCGAAAAACCTCGTCTGGCCATGCAAACGAGGGGCACTGTGGGGGCCGCTGCTCCCCCTTGCCAGTGAGGCCAG